TCTATTTTTTTGAAACAATGCGAAAGTTTCTAAGCAGTAGTGCTATGCTATGCTATAAGATGTTAAATATGTAATGAAACAACCCAGAGCATTTGAGACTCGGTTGCTTAAAAAAATGGTTTATTTCTGGTACATTTGACTCGTTATTTTTTATAAAATTGTTCGAATTTTGAATGGCAGTTAATTTGAAGTTTGTAAATCTTTTTTTGTATCAATTATCTTTAAAAGTACTTATATAATTTGATGATTTTTAATGCTACTTAAAATAGTGGGTTTGAAACTCAGTTTGCTGCAAACTCAGCAGCTTGTACACGTTAATGCTCATATTTCTAAAACTCTGTATGGTAAAGACACAACAAGACTATGTCTAGATTGCCTGCAGCTTAATCTCAAAAATAGGTTCGTTTCATTTCGATAAAATAAACCGTTTTTCCAGAAAAACGACTATTATTTAAAATAAAATCGAAATGAAATTTAATTTAAAGCTTTATAAGTAGATTCAACAATGGCTTCTTGTAGTCTGATACAAAATCGAGGTTTGTTGCAAGCCCCACATTTCAGAATGGTTTCTTATTTGATCGGAAAGGAACATAATTCTATGCAAAATTAATTTTTGAAGGGAAATTTTTTTTAGAAATGCGATGTCAAAAGGATTTAGGTAGTATTGATCATATTATAGTAATATACTTTAAAAGTTATTTAATAAAGAACGATTTCCAACTGCGTTTTAAGGGGTTTATATCCTGGTAGGGAGGAGCTACAAAAGTTTGTCATGTTATTTTCACACTCTGTATATGCAACTGAAACTATGCCCATATTTTCCAGGGCACACTGTAGATACGTAAACGATTATTTTACGTTATACACTTTTGTTTTATTGGAATATAATATTTTTGGTTATTTTTACACAATAAAATTATTGTGGAGTAATTTTATGCTTAAAAATGCGATAGCTCTATTCTCTAATTTACATTTTTCTCTATTTAGTTAAAATGTCGCTTCGTCTTTTGCGTTGCTTTTTTATTGTTTTTTTGTTGCAATGTTATATGTAGAGTTAACTTCAATATATGCTGCTACCTACCTTTCATGCTAATTTACTCGTCGCCAACATTTGGTACAAAGGTAAGGTTGCAAATCCTAGTGAATTACCAGTTAATTTCGAAATTGAGATAAATATCTCATTAGCGCTTGAAGAGGAAAAATGGAAAAAAACAATTAAAATAAGTGCTGTTGAACGAAGCGTTTGTGCACCTTCTTGTGAATGCAAAATATTCAGTTAGACTTATGCAACTTAACTCACTTCAAAGCACAATTTTATTCTCTTGATCAATTTGGTGAAGATTATCATTCCAAAACTTATTAACTTTTGTTAAGTTAAATTCAGAAATTTTATTTTTTGGATTCTCTCTCGTTCTTGCAATATTTGCAGTCATCATTTATGTTTTTGACTAAACATCCAGAATACACATTCCTAAAAAACTAATGCTTATTTCTATTTTCAAATATGCATTATATCATAATAATATAATGAGTTTGAAAATGCTGGAAAAGTTCACGCAACATAAATAATTTGTTAAAAATACCTGTTCTGTCTTAAAATTTGAGTTAGGATGATGTAAACGAAGCTGTTAGGAAATCTGTAATATCTCAAAAATTAAAAAATCTCTATAGACTCGTAAAATAAATTAAAATCTTCTGACAATCTGTAAAATACTATCAATTTACGAATTGTAAATCTATTTATTGCGTAAGACCGCAGACTCAAATTTCAAAACTTTTTATAGCCAAGTTTTCAAAACGATTTTACTTAGGCAGAAAGTAAAATTATAGAAACAAATGGACTGAGATTTTTGTAAAAATGTGGATCTTTATTCAATAAATTATAATGTCACATCTCACCTTTAAGGCATCACATTACAATGATAACGAATTTATTTTATATTAGGTATGTGAACTCTATATTTCGCAAACTTAATTTACACTTCCAGGACTAACATTAAAATTAAACGGTCGATACTGACATGCAAGTCGAAAAACTTGAAATAAAACTGCGTAATTACATTTTACAATTTAAAAATTATATTGAAAATATAGGTTTTATGCATCATAACGATGTGCTTAATCCCGTAATTGGCGCTGATACGTAATCTAACAATGCGCAAATGACGTTTTAATTTTTAGGTATAAATATTGGCATATGCATTTATACATTACTAATATATTACATTACTTAGAATACACATATAAACTACTTACACTAACATTTTTTTCCTGCTACTACATAATTGAAAAGTATTATAAGAAATATTGTGATAATTCGAAATCTCTCTAATTGTATCAATATTAAATTAGCTTTTAATTAAATTATAGCATTGGTTTTCATGATTTAGATCAATTTAGAAATCTTCACGGAATTTAAAAATATAAAATGCTTCAACCCCAAATAGTATGGAAGTGATGAACGAAAGTCCAGTAGATGCGGTTAATAATTTCAGTATGTAAGGTCTGGGTTCGTAGAAAAATTCGTCAAGGAAATAATTCTTCTTTCGATCAAGAATTAGTAAAACTGCACATGTGAAGAAGAAACATGACCCCAGCAAGGAGAGCATAAATCCCGTCCTAAAATTAAAATTATCAATTGTTACCCGTTTTAATTAATTTGATTAATATCTTAGACAACATTGACTTGAATGAAGAAAAAAGGTTTTTGTGCATGTTCGATTAATGATTAATTAACTCATGCTCTCCGAAAAAACGCATCTGATCTGATCATCAAAGAATTCATATTAGAGCAAGAATTTTCTATTGCAGAAACTCCTAAATAACGCATTTATTAATTTCATTTTAAAGAAAACGGAAAATTCAAAAATAAAAATATAATAGGAAAAATTCTTAGCGTGATCTTTTTGCTTTAAAAGTATGAGACATTATACAGTTTGCAAAAATAATTATAAAATAATAAATGCAAAAATTACTGTCTTGCGTTGTGACAATAGAAATAATAAATTTAAATGTTAGATAATAGTTAGATAGTAAACCTTAGCCAATTTAATTGTTAATGGTAATGTATGCTTACCTATATGGTATTGTGTCGCCGGAAATTGCTTTTGCCACTAAAAATACAGACACGATGAGAGAGTATCCAATGAAAGTTGGAAAGATTAAAGCAAAGTGTGCCAAATGGATTCTTGCTAAATCTCCCCTTTTTGCTGGTTCCATAACCAACCCAATGCATAAAGCACAAAGTATCTGAAAACAGTATGGTTCTCTTATTTTTTTATTACTTATGATTTTAATTTACCAATTCCAGAATTTTTGCCCAAAGTTGCCATCGTTTCCTAAATTCATTCATGTTTTTTTCTTGTGTACCGAACTTTCCACACTCTGCTACTTTTTCTGATATTGATGATCTTTCTGACATGTTTTCTTCAGCAATATTTTACACTCACCAATCACGATATTTCACACCTTCGCACTTTACTTTCAATTAATTTATAACCAACAATTTATGCATATATCAGTAAAATAGAATCAAGCTCGTTCGTGCTCTACGAAAAATTCCCTTTATTCGCTTAAATAGTAAAATGATTGTTTCAATTAGAACTAATTGTCTTGAAGGTTTAATAATGCACAAAGTGTAGCAATGAGGTCACCTGAAAGTGCACATTGCTATATCAAGATATTGAGACCATAATAAGTTTTACGAAATTAAAGTCAACTTTTTCTAATAACATTCTTGTATGTTTGTTTTTGAACATTTGTAATTACAATATATGTATAGGATGCCCCTTAAATTTAAATTATTACAAATATAAATAGGTACATTGTAATTACTAACTATACAATTGAGAATTTTTGTTAAATTGAGCTGCATAATAACAATTAGTGCAATGTTATTTACTGTTAAACTTAGGAAATAACAAAAAAAATTGTCAGTTACGTTTTGTATGATAAAATATTTCAAATTGTTATGTTGTTTGCTCCATATCAAGCCGATGCATTTTTTAAGATTTAGTTAAGAAGGGAGGAACTAAACGTAAATAGGAACTAAACGTAAATACATAAAAATTATTAAAAAACTATAATTTATGTTAAGATTGCAGTCGGTAAAAGTCAATGACGTGAATAATATTTATTTTCGTCATCGATTTTGAAATGTAAGTAAATCAGTTGCTTTAAAATAGAAAAATAACATTAACAACCTTAAAATAACACACATGAATAAAGTAATGAATACAATGAATAAAGTAATAAAAAAATAAATTAATAAACAAAATCAATAAAGTCAGCTTTTTCAAACTTTCTCTATTAGTTAAGTTAAGAATATGCTAGTTTGCTACACAAAATGCTTTGCCACGAATAGTTTTTTAGCAGATGAATATATTTGAGCAGGTTCTCGTTGGTGTTTAATCGCATGAAGGACTCGAGCTTTTAGAACATCATTTGCGTACGTTTCGAGGTCAACTTTTTCGTACCATATAAAATTTATACTTATTACATTAGATTGTTTAATTACTCGATAAGCTAAATATAACGAAGCTGCTACTAGAAATGTCGGTTCAGTATAGGCGTATAAATCAAACATTGTGCTGCATTCCATTACGAAATTTGCTCCATATCTGAGCACCTATAAACATCAAAATTACAGATTTTATATCGTATATGAGGACGGGGCATTAATTAAATCACATATTCTAGGTCTAAAAATAACCCTAGTTTGCTATATAAACGATAGCCCAAAAATACTTCCTCACGGAATTGCAGGATCTTGAAATTTAATTTAAAAAATGCAAAGTGATAAATTTCTACAAAACGCATGAAGATACGTTAACGAAATTTACTAGAGACCAATGACTGAGAAAGACACATGTTTTGCAACAAAATAATTTTGTAAATTTTTGTGAGAGGCGTGCGTACTTGGATGCATCCGAATTTCTTAAGGAAAAAAATGATTCGTCACTGTATTTTTTAATTATTACAAACACTTTTCAAATTTGTTGTTTCATTACAATTAAAATATATTTCTTGCATTTTTTTGCTGCCCCAACAGTTTATTATATAAAGATTATATAATCTTTATGCTGTGGCTTTGTGGTGGGCCCAATTGGACACATTTAAATGGGAACCGCCGTTTGTATTGGACTAGATAAAAACTGATGTCTGTGTCTTTCTAAAATTATTACCTGAACATTAAGTGTCCCTCGCGTTCTTGTAGTATGTAGCGCTCAGACTATAGGAACTGAGTGGCTGAAGTAGATACAAATATTGAAATGTTTTAGAAGGTAGACTTTTTACTTTCAATAAAAACAGAATTACAAGTGTTCAAAAACTAAACTATCGCTTTCCACACATTCCGCTTTCTTTATGAGATGGCCCATTTAAATGTGGCCTATCTACAACATATCTTACTTTAGAATCTTAACCGCTTGTCGGAGCAAAATAATGCAAGATATATTTTTTGTTTGGAATGCAACAAGGAATTGGAAAAGTAATAGTTAAAAAATACAGTGGCGAAAAATTTTCTTTTTTATCAAATTCGGTAGGGTGCAGGTACGCACGACACTGGCAAAATTTAACAGAATTATTTTATTGAAAAACATTTCTCTAGCTATTGATCCCTGGAAAATGTCGTTAAATTATCTCCATGCATTGAGAAGGAGTTTAGAATTTTGCATTTTTTAAATTAAATTTCATCACCCTGTAAATCCGAAGCAAACCATTTTTAGGCTATTGTAACTAGAATTATTTTCGGACCTGGCCATAACTAGTTAAAATAATTCCCCTGCATCACGAAACTCCGAATATATAATGATAGAAATAGGTTGATATTTTATTACGCACCTTATCCTCATCTAAATTTGAGAGTTTCAAATAATAATTAAGGAAATCCAAGGGATCGACCATGCTGAGACAAAAATGCGTTGACTTTAATAATTTCTTTTCCATGGACAGAATTTCCTGCTTTGAGAATTTTATTTCACAGAAGGAACACAGTTTAGGTACCTAAAATTGATAATTGAACATTGGACCAAAATTCGTATGAAGGTGGGGAAAAGTACCTCTATTTTTATATCAGCGAGATATTTTGCCGATATCCAAATGGCCGCAATAGCTGCCAGTTGATACAGTTTACTATTCAGTTTTAGAGAGATTACGGCAAAATCAAATAGCCGAACTGACATATAAAATACGGAATCGACTTCTGGGGTGATATAATTCTACAAAAATCCACCTTGATAATAGGTAATATTCCTAATTGTTTTAGGCGGTCATCGATTGAAATTTTCCTAACGTTTCATTGGTATCTATATGTGGCTAACATCTGCAGAGGTGTTTTCACATCAGGTGCATGTATCAATGTTTCGATGTAGAAAATGTGGCTCGTTCGCTAAAGAACGGCTCTGAAACCTGCAGCAAGAGCACGTTAGTCGAGAGTGAGTGACCAACTTAACATACATCTGAAGATGTTAGTCATAAGTGCTAGTGAAACGTCAGGATCAAATATATATTGATGATAGCTTAAAAGCCTGAAAAACACCGATATTTGATTCATGTTCAAAAAATACGAGTTTAATGAAATGATCTTTATAGAAATGAGGTGAACTCACCGACACTTTAAGAATCCACTCTATAACACAACCTCGAACTCTTTTGTTCATGTGTGCATTAACCAACTCTCTGTTAGCGAGAAAGCAAGTACGAAGTTGGAAGCAGTAAAAAATTACAACCTGCAATTAAAAATATTTCAAAATCTGTAGTATTTTCAAAAGTTGTTGGCATGTATCAAAACAACTCGAACCAGAATTGTTCATTCAAGCGATGTAATTGCAAGAATTTTCTTCTATAAAAATAAAACAGTTGCTTGATGAGCCAACGGTGCAGGATGTGCGTTTTGAAGTTACAACCGTTTTAAATATGTAAAATTGTCTGGTTTTATTTAAAGTTAAAAACTTGGACTTAATTTTGTTAAATCTTCCCATATTTGTTTGTATAGCAATAAGCAGAATAATTCTGTTTCGTTCGCGTATTCCAACTAATTGAAACATATTCAATAAATCCTGATTAAATTAATATTAAATATATTATCCACCAATGTTGTTTTATACGAAGTCGTCAACTTACTTCATCGTAATCAGGCGTATACATCAGAGGAAGTGTACGTTGCTTCTCTGAAATTAAAAATAGGATTAATTAATTAAGTATCTATTTTCATATTTATTTCAGTTTAACTTGGCTTCTCTTTTAAATATTAACAGGGGTAGACAATCATATTAATGTTCTTGAAAAATTACTGGAAACTTTAAACCATATAGGCAAGTAAGTATACATCTGCCCATGTGCGGTTGATTTTTGCTGATTTCAAATACATTTTGATTTAAAATAGGACATAAAAATCGTTTTTAACAGGCAGGTATATAATATACCGTAAGGAAAGGGTGTTTTTAGAGGTATAAAACTTTAAACTGAAATAAAACTCTCCGAAATCATGTTAACGACATGGTACGGGCTTTATTGAGAAGGCAATTGTATGCCTTTATAGCTTAATTATGATTTGGCTGCCTCGAATGAAGAACAATCTGGAAGTCCAATTTTCAACCAGTTTCCAATTTCTTCCAGACCGTAAACCAAGCAGCGGGTTTTTCTGAATATCATAGGGTCTCAATAATGGCTTCTGCATTTTCTTCGCTTCAAATCCGGCAATTTTGATTATTTACGCAACTATTGAGCCAACAACGATTATGTGGATCGTAAAATGAACGTAGCTCACAGTGAGTTTGGCGAACTGAACAGCGATTTTGGAAACACATTGACGAATTTGGAGCGACAAAAAATATAAAATCCAGAAACCATTATTGAGACGCCATTATATTCAGACAAATTCACTGTTTGATGTGCTTTTTTATGGTCTAGTGGAATCAAAGTGGTCGAAAATTTAAGTTTTTGCGGGAAGTGCTCATATGCTCCAAATCATATTTAAGCTATACTGGCAATTGTCAACAATGGTCTTTTCAATAAAGCCAGTACCAGAAGCTTAACATGAATTTTATCAGTTTTACTTCAGTTTAAAGTTCCATACCTCTAAAAAAACACCCTTTAGTGATATGAAGTTTTTTTGCAGCTCAACATTAAAAACGTAAATATATTCAGATTCTGCTCCAAGAATTTTACATACTATTTCGAGCTAATGTTGTCTTAACAGCTGGTTTTGGAACGTAATTTTTTTCTAATTCTGATACATTGCTTCTTCTGGGTATCCAATTTAAGGAGTACGGTGATACTGGAACGGTTTTAATCGACTGCCCTTTTCCTTCGTCCAAATCTGCAATTGATTAAATAACTTACCAGAGATTCTAAGTGACTCCCAATTTCTTCAATTTATTCATTACAATCCGCTTACTTTGCATAAATTGCTCCATTGGAACGAACGGCATGTCGTTTTCACATATTAAAGAAGTATCTCTAATCAATGTGACTTTTCCCATTTGAGCTGCTAAAGAAACGGCTTCCCATGGGCTTTTCGACTTTTGCGTTTCACATACAGTTAAACATTCCGAAGATTTCGTTGGGATTTTTGATGAGCAGCTGTAAGATGGACAGGAGAAACTTATCGTTTTCTGGGTTAGGGTTTTAAATTTCTGGCTGTCTAATTCCGCGACTTGTAAAACTTTTCCATCAGGTTTCAGTGTACTGCTCGATTTTGTGGATTTCATGGAAATGTATCCAGAAGAGCTTGAGCTTGTTGTAGAAGCGCTAAGATCTGCTCTAACAGGAGGTTTGAGTTTACTTACTGTTGTTTGGCTAGTTTTTAATTGAGAGCGCTCGAAAGTTCTTTGTTTTTCTTTTGCACCGCCTCGCATATCTATAGTAGATGTTTTTAATGCAGAAGATCTTGGAGCTTCGACTTGGCTGATGCTGCTGATGCTAGCTCTTTGATCACATCCTCTTCTGCATGAAGGCTCTTTAGAATCCATCTGAAAATAGTACAATTTGGCTTGTATAGTTGGGCTGTTACAATTCGTTGCAACAACGCTTTCTACTCTTTGAGTCAGTTCTTTATAAAACATGTTATGGAATTTTATGCCTCGTAATTACCAAATGCCTGTCAGGTCTCTTCGGAAAACCCGCTTGACTTCGATTTTCTTTATTTTCCTGCAATACTGTATCTGCAGTTGAAAATTTAGATCCCTGTAACATGTATGCATAAGTTACTAGAAATAATATTTCTAAAATGACTTTGCTTACTGATGATACTGATAGAGCAACTGAATGTATTACTGGGTGAATACGTGAAATTGAGCTCTGCACTTTTTGAGTGACGCTTGTTGATTCTGCCCAAGGTATAAATATTGGCTGGGATACCGGCCTCTGAGTCTCCTTATGAGATTCCTTCCTTCTCGAGGACGAAGCCTGAAATATTTCAATTTTTACATTAATGTACAGCAAATTAGCATTCTGAAATAGATGTTCGTCATATTGAAAATATCATGATGCCCTATTTTTGATAAAATATTTGATATTTTTTTATACAGAGAACGACATTATGCAAAACCGAATAATATACAGGGTGTTCCGTAAGCACATGATCAAAAGGATACTGCGATATTCTTTGCATGAAAAGAAGACGATCTGACCTAACTTTTATTAACAAAAAGTGTCTGGCTCCTCTGCTATTGATGTTCAAAGTTGTTCAAAAAATTATCTTTTTCGAAATATCGGGAAAATGGTACGATGTATTTTAGTGAAACTCGCTGTGAATTTGTTCTTATGTAAGACTCATATTTTAATGAAACAATCGAGTTTATCCGTTTTGGACAAGTGGAGAATTCTTGAGGGTCGTGGTACAAAAACTACCAGAACTTTTTATTTGGTGGATGAAATCAAACTTTTTTTTTGATGTTGCACTAATTATTTTGTTATATATATTCATAGTTTTTGTGAAAAAAAAATTTTCTGTTTTTTTTTTCAACTAACAATGTTAGCTATTAACTGCAAATCTGCAAATCAAGCAATGCAATCTCACAAATTCGTTTCGAATGACCTTTTGTATTGAAGAAGTGACCGACATGGTCAAAGTATTACGGTTTTGCAAAGACAACTTGCCTGAAAGCGAACTCGTTTACGCGGCGCATATTTATATATATAATGTCTAGCATTTTTAAGTAGCTAGAAAACAGACATATTTTTTTTCGCAAAAAATATGAATGCTACTAGATTTCACAAAGAGCACAAAATTGTGAATAAATGATTAGTGCATCAACCGAAAAAAATGAGTTTATTTCATTCACCAACTAAAAAGTTCTGAGAGTTTTTGTACCACGACACTCAATAATTCACCACTTGTCTAAAACGGCTGATCTCGATTGTTTCATCAAAATATGAGTCTTACAGAAGAACACATTCACAGCGAGTTTGAACAAAATACATCGTATCGTTCTCCCGATATTTCAAAAAAGATCAATTTTTTGAAGAACTTTGACCATCAATAGCAGAGGAGCCAGACATTTTTTGTTGATAAAATTAGGTCAGATCGTCTTCTTTTGATTCAAAGAATATCGCAATACCCTTTTGATCATGTGCTTACGGGACACCCTGTATATTTTCTTAAATGCAAATGACGATAACAATTCCAAGTTTTTCTTCCGCTCATTGTAAATAAAGTAAACTTCAGATTGGAACTTATCATTAGTGGACTAAGTTAAAAATGCATTATTTATATTACCATTTCGGGAGCTTTGGACAAAACATGTGTTCTTCTAGCGGGTAAAATTGGTGATATAGTGGCACGCTTCGATTTTTCTTCCATTTCCTGATTTATCTAAATTGATGAAATAAAATGTATTCAATTCAAACAAAAATTTTAACATAAAATATAGGTTGTGTGAATTTTATTCCTGCTGCTAGTAATTCTATTATTATTAATGTAGTCTTATACCGTCGACTCTAACCAGGTGGAAAACTTGGATTTAAAGTTTCAAGACAACCGTTAATTATTAACTAAGAATCTCCTTAGTATAAGAGAATTTGTGTTTTAGAAAATTGATGTGGCTTTTTTTTTCAATCTGTTTTAATATTATTATACTCTCACTCGGCAGTAAGCTGATTTGTTTTGGTCCTATTACAAAATCATGATTTTCAATCATGTTTTTTTAATTGAATTGAATTTTTTGAATTGAAACATCATTTGAAGCTTGAAATCATCGAAAGCCGAGATTTTTATATCTATGAAAGAATATAGTAGATACCTCGGGCATATAGTCGTTTTTAAATAGTTTATCAACTTTTCCATTGAATAAAAATATTGTTTAATTATTGTTATTTTACTCTTACCTTTTTATGATAGTTAGTGGTTAAGTTTTGTTTTTGAGGAGCTTCTTCTTGTATAGTGGCCAAAGGAGGCCTGGCTGACCCCAAGGCCAACTTTGGATTTCCAGGGCATCTACACGGAACAAAATTGTCTTTTTGATGATCAAAGGAACTGGCCGAAGTGGATTTTCGCATTTTTCAGTCTATTTTTAAAAAGCTGTTTCAAATATGGCACTTGCAGTTGAACCGATATCTAGTCTCAAATACCGATTATTTTGCCATTTCTTAACTGAAGAAAAACCTTCAGACTTTTTCAATACATTCGTTCCTCAACAATTTTTATTTTGCAAATACTGACAAATTATTGAAATGCTTAAAGACGTATATGATCTTCACTTGAAATATAAAACGATTTTTGGTTGAAGGAAAATAATTATATTACGATTGGTAAGACGTCTAACATAAGTTTTTACTTATTCTTTTGATCTAGTTTTATTGTAAATCAATAAATAAAAGATCCATTTTATTTATTATCGCCAAGTAATACTAATAATGATTCACTTTCGAATATAAAAAGAAACTATTTGAATATCACATAAAACATTTTAAAAGTTTCTATTAGTTATAAAATTACTACTAACTGCCTAAAGAAGAGTTCAATTAATACTCAAAGAATTAGTATCTTTTTGTCGAAATAGTAATACCTGATTCAATATAAAACGTGTTTTAGAAAGCTTGGTATGCATATATACGTACAAAGACCATAGTTTTTATTGGCGGAAAATGATGATGGATATGAGTATCAAGAGAATTATTACACATTTTTGTCAATTGTTTTGGTGTATTAAACGTTCACTATTAATATATACAGCCAGCAAATGAACGGGAACTGCAAAAATTGTGAAATAAAAGAATAAAAAAAGAAAAATTTTGAATTATTAATGAAAGAATCAAGTGACTCGTCCGGATTATCGCCTTTGTTCGTACATATTATTATTTATAAATTCTTTAAATAAATCTTTACATTTATATAATGTTGTTTTATTGCGGATAAAATACTACCACTTTGGTTTAGTTGGTAGTTTATTGAATCAATATTAAGTACTAAATTGTTAAATTAATATTACAAAAAATATTATTGAGAAGCACTAACAAGTACTCTGAAAGCTTTCTAACAAATTTCACTGAATGTGAAAAAGTCAATCGATTCGCATTATGAGGATGGGTAATATATTTTAATAAGATAGAAAATATTATTTTCTTCTTATAGTAGGCTAAATTGGACGTTACACGTAAAGCTATGAGAAGGACAGTGTAGACCCTGAAAACGCCACATTTTTCATACTTAGAAGCAACCTTCTTTAAAATGCTTAATAAAATCATATTTTATGCATAACAGTTATGCTATTTACAAATAAATTTAGACTTTTTGAGAAAATTTGTAGCGGTTTCAGTGCACCATTCTGAATGTTTTCTATTTACAAGGCGCGGACAAAAAGTCTTACATCTTAGACAACCTACGATATACAGGGTTTTTTTATATTACATTTAAAGCTTTAACAGCAATAGACTTCTCCACTTTTTTGTTATAGTGGCAGTTCTAAATTGATATAAAAACGTATAATTTACAAACGAATATCTTATATATTTTAACATAGATATAGATATGAGTTTATGTCAGCCAAAAATTTCGAAAATACAACCTTATTCTAAAATTTTTAAATATATTTGTAAATTTTATTCTACATGAAGTGTTCAACTTTAATGTCGAATTCAACTAGCTATTTTTATTTGATAGTTACTTTTTAACATACTATAAGAAACTTAAGTGAAAATTTATAATCAAGTCTAATTTTAAGCTGACATAACTAAAACATTCAATTTAATTTCTAATCTTACTATAAAAACATTAAACAGTCCATTCAAGTTATTAAAATAGGTGAAAATTGAGCAAATTTGGGTCACAAACCATTACAGTGGTGAGTAAATGAAAATTAATGTATTCGTTCAACTAGAAATATTCATTTTTTATGAATACTATTAGATTTGTAAATCAAATTCGAACCTTACCTGAGCATGAATAACTATTTTTTTAAATTGCTCATAAAATCAGAGGAATATATGGATTTTAGCTTATAAAGAGTTTTCAAAACTGTTCATGATTCGTGCATCCAAATAGCCATTGTTACATTCATTAAACACAACAAACATTTTAGCTTAAGTGGTCCACTAGCATTTCAAGATAAATTTTACTCGAAGTAAACTATCGGAATCAAGTTTCACTTAGTTTTTGTTTTCATTTTATCGAATTTAAGAATAATTTTCATTTAATGCCAGTGGTTTAAGAACACCTACTTTTATTGAACACATATTATAGAAACAGCAACAATAATCTTAAAATACTTTTTACAAATAAATGTTACAGCATCCTTAACGATAATCATATCCTATCAACGTACAACCATTTGGTTTCAAGGAAAACCTATGAAAAGTACATGTTTTATGGAATATAATTGTCGGATCTCAAAATTGAGTGCGACAAATCTTAAACTCAATTCTTTGAAAATCAGAATACACAGGAAACAATATCAATATAATTTACTGAGATATTTATAAACATAGTTTATACGAAAAAGACGCGTAGAGCGTAGTACTGCAATATTTTTAGTTAACAACTATAAGTTCTAGTACTACAAGATAATTATTTATTATAAAAACTAACGGTTTCAAGAATATCTCTACTGATGTGTATAGTTTTTTTGGTAAATTGTATACAAGGCGGTAGTTGGTAAGCGTTAGGTTATAATGTTGCAGATTTTTAATATTAGAAGATGAAAATGAAGAATTACAGTACTCTATGTAATAAATACTCAGGCGAATATTAACGAAGAAGCAAATGATTTTGTATTCATCCTAAAATGTTGATGTTCAACATAATGTTGATTATGTCTATTATTTCTTCAACGTTTTAAGAAATTTATTGTATATTTATTTAATCTTTGAAAAATTCATTCATTATGAAATTTAAATGCGTCCCCATCTGTTTTCCGATTAATATTTTCTGCAAACTCAATGTTTTCTTCCGTTATTTCAGCTTTTAAGCCGTACTGTATTCAATATATGAGGCTAATTGTTTTCCATCACAATTAGATAAGTGATTAATCAAGAATGAAGTTTTATTCGAAGTAATATTCGAGTAAATTTCTATGCTTAAAGACACTTTTATTAGTTAAACTAGCAGAAATCAAAGCGTATGGTCTCCAGTCCAGTTATTTAAATGCCCTATGTGTTGAAATTTGAATTGTCGAGACGGTTCAGATTTTCCAATAATTGCAATTAGTAGCAAAAATTATCTACCTGGCTTTAATCGACTGATAACTGATTTCCAAATAATGAAATCCCAGTGGAGATTCTTCGTGGAGATGAAGATAATCTTTAAAATGAAATGTGAAGAAATTCATTTTTTTGGAACTGAAAAACTTCGATAAACCGTCTTCATAAGACATCACCCTCCCTGTACTGATTTTTTTATAGCCAAAATGTATAATACAATAGAAATTAATATTCCGTTGTTAAAATAAAAGAATAAACTGGGAGATATTAGAAAGTTCAACTAAACTGAAAGTGCTGGATTTTTGTTACAACCTGTAAAAATTAAAACTAGACTGGAAAGTGGTCTTCCAATAATTCTTTGCTGGTGATTAAAGCATGATAATTTGAGATTCCGGTATCATCAGAATAGAAGCTAAAGCCAAACGTGGATTTGAAAGGCTAGCGACTAGTTTAGTGTCACACACATACATTTTTGAATTCTAGGCTTTATTCCATTCCATTTCAGTTGGACAAAAGCTTTGGCAACACCAATTTATTAATTCTAGCAGCCTTTCAAAGATATCTGCTGATTTGTAATAGGTATGTTGAGACCTATCAAAATTAAAATATGTTCAAATGGTATAAGTACATATTCATAAATCTCAATTGAAAACTGACCCTTTAGTCTGAAAAGTGTCCTTTAAGTTTATGACGACGAAATCTGAGCTTATAATATTCTAATCCTACATTCGAAAGGAAGACCTTTTGTCTTAAGTTTGCCATCTAATATGTGTAGGTACAAGATTGGCGGGAATATGTTTGAAAGCAAGATGGTCCCTAGAATTTGCCTAGATATTTTAATATTTAATCGAACTACAGTTTTTACAGAATGTTATTGTTTAATAGCAGCCATCCTCAGCATTTTTTATGATTACAAGTTTGGAAATAAATCACAATGAAAATTAAACTTTTACTATAGGAAGTTAGGATAAGCTGATAAATTCTACTTCATGCATACGTGGTGAAGATGAAAAACGTTAGTAATCGCTCACTATGAATTATTTAAATACGCCAGGCGAAGAGAAGAGATTCATCAGTTTTCCTTTATCGGTTTATCCCAATTTCCGCGCTTAATCTACCATTATAATATCTGAACAATGAACAATTATCAACAAGATATCATATTAAATATCTCCCATAACTCATACACATCTATACGACATATACCTACAGCGCATGAAATAATACTGATATATTTTAGTCATTGATCGATTTATCTAAATCACCAACTACATATATAAGGCTGAAAATGAGGTTTAAAAATGCAGGTACATAGAAAATGAGTGCTCTCATCGCGAGTACAATGTCTCACTTTAAAGCGAAAACTAGCTACGTGGCACTAGGTTGAGTCTTGATGAAAAAAACAATTATTAATATCACTTTTAAATTAGGAAGATTCAGTAGAAATTGGTATTTCGGTCTATCGCCGAAAAAATCGAAGAAATCCTTTTTTCTTTTCGGGTGGTGGCGCCATTAGCATAGGTACTTGGTTCTTATGTGTGATACGTATCTGTAAAAGATACAACTGATTACACATTATATATTAATACTAATATAAAACTGAAAATTATTCCTATTTTTCTGTTGTTTCAGGTATGTAATGAAGGAAATGTTGATTATCCTAAATGTTCAGTGCGAAAGAAGCTAATTTTATTCTTGAACCAGCCGTATTTATGGCTGATAAGTTTGTATTTCAATTAGGTATTCTTCAGACTTGAGACTCAAGTGAATGTATTACACAACATATATTTTTATTGAAATTTTTATAAGTTCAAGTCCAAATGCTTTACAGTACTTGAATTTGTACTGGGTACATTCGAGAACTCAAAAATCCTATATGACTAAAATACAAATAAAATGTCTGGAAAAACTACTAATATCGGTTATATAAATATTAAGTCAATAGATATTATTATAAAAAGGGAATTAAATTTGGAACACGAAAATGCGTAATTTATTAGTTTTAAAAATTGCTTTTGAAAATGTAGTAAAAATGGAAGGAATATTTCAATCTCGATATGTTATTTTAATCAGCAGCTCCCTAATGGCTTAATGGATTTTTAATATTTTTTTTATAAAGTGAATCAAAATATAGCTTATGTGGATTTCATTTAAAATGCATAATTTTGCAAGAAAACCATTGAAAATGCATTAAAACACTATTTTATTGACTTTATTTTAAAGACGAAAGCAAGCTTTTGCATAGTAACTGCGGAAGATTTTAGAAAATCAACATTAGTAGTGTAAAAGACAAGTTTTATTTTATTATAAAGGGGCCACTACGTAAGATGCAAAATTATGGGACTATAAAAAGGTGGCAATTAAAACCGATGTTAATTTTTAATCGCTATTCGATTTATATGAAAGCTTTTGAAATATGGATGAAATCTAATATAAACGAAGTGTAAAACTCGGCTGTTTAAAAGTTTTATTTTAATAACGGCGAAGTCTTGGTTAATTTTCCAATGATTCATAAAATATAAATCAGTTTTTGATTATTATTTTCATTTTTAACTAACAAAGGCTGAGTCGTACAGGAAAATTGATTGAGAGCTTTTTCTTCCAAGATTCATAATTTTGGCAGTATTTTAGTGGTAGTAGTAAGTATTTTTCGAATATAGAATCTTTCTCTATTTGCCCTATAAAGTTTCTAATCCGGAGTTTTTTTCCTCGAGGCTTATTGGCACTGTTTCATCAACCACCCTTGAATAATGTTCAATATTTTTACCGTTGTTGGTGGCTGCATCCAAGGTTCTCCATCGATTTGCATTGGAAATGTTTTTTTAGTCTTGATAGTCACAGATGAACATTGCGCCAACCTTCTTCCACTTGCCGTAATACCCATTTTCACTTGTCCCATGTGCAAGCAATTGTCCAACCCAATAACTTCAATTAGTCCGTCTCCAATATCTTGAAACAAAATAAACTAGTTCTTATCCAGAGAGTACATAAGAATATAAATCTATATGGCCTAGATTTTGGACGAAGCTTAAAAAATCTCACTGTTGGTTGAAAATTCTAGTTATTTAGTCACCGCTATTAATGTGCTTTAATAAAAGCAAAATTAGCAGGTAAATTATCTAAAAAAATTAGCTGGAATTTAGTGTTTTCTTGTCCGATTAACTTCATATCTTATAACAAACTCTATCTACAAATCTGGAAAATGCTGACTTATGGCTCTTACCTTGAACAGCTACACTTAAATCTACGGAATTAAAACTACTGGTGCTGATGTCCTTTTCGCGGCCCTTTTTCCTACTTCGCCTTGTTACTGCCAAGTGTTCGCCCCACAAATTCGATCCTCCATGCGTATAAGGTATGTTAAGAAATGTGATGCCCTGTAGTGGAAGACCATTAGCAAGATCAAGTCCCACACCGTCACACTGGAAATTACGAAAAACATTTTTGATCTAAAACATACAAGCATGGAAGCACGACTCACTTCAATTTCAATCGATTGCTGCAGATTTTTGCAGGATGCGAACAATGTTTCCGTGGTGGCAAACTCAACGTACCACAGTTTGTTCTTCATTCGACTGTTGAATCTGTCTGGATTTTTGCTTCGTTCATTATGGAATTTGTTGCAAATTGCCGCATCCTGAAACGGTGTAAGTGGCAGGTAAAACGAGGGTCCAGGACATTTGAATTGTACTGTCTTACCACTCCAATTGAAAAATAGTTATTGATTACGTTATATGGAATGCGGGTATCAACAACTTTCAGATTATTCGGGTCCAGTTGGGAGGTGTCGTATAATTCTATCGACCACCTAAAGTAAAATAAATGATATTTCAAATAATTGCAAATAAATGCAGATTTAAAAATTTTCATTCAAATTGGAAATGTTTGCTAATCTGTTGAGGAATTGGAGCAAAATTTTAAGTTAAGCTTATTTTAGTATTTCGATTGCCAGCTTTTCAATGTGCATAATAATGCATTTATCCGCCCGTAATTGCTGTGGAAATGTGAAAATTTACCTATCCATCATAATTGGAGATCCTCTCGCCACTTTATGGAGCATTTTGTGAATTGATTCGCCTTCGTATCCTCCTCCCCATCGAAGGCATCGTGCCAAATCATTGCCAGTTCCTAATGGAATTACGGCCACCGGTGGCTGACATTCCAGTTCTACTTTGTCTGTAAAATGAGGTCAGTTATTACCTTCCTCGCTTGTATTTATTAAGATGAACACCTACAGTTAATTTTGCTATACAGGTCGGTTACATTGGTATTTTCTTTTCAACAGTCGATAGAGATGAGGCATTCTTTTTCTACTTCACTTTCGTTGGTGGTTTAAATTTGAAATAATGTACAGAAAAATTCTAATAGTCTTTGAGTATATCTCAAATATGATTTGAGCTGCGTCAGTCGTTTCTCTCCGAGAAACCGATTGATTATGTGAAACTTCAGCTAGGAAATAGTGGTAGTTCTTACACAAACATAACGCCACCTATTCGCTCACATTTCAAAAATAAATTGAGCTAGCGCGCCTATCTCTAAACCACTGGATATAGCATTATTGGCAGGTTATAGAGGGAAAACTATCGGTTTGGAAATATAGAAAGTTTTCTGGGAAGACAAATTTTTAGTTTTGCTAGGTTTGGCGCCACATTTTTGGTCATATCTTAAGAACTATTTCAAACATTTCGCTCGTTTTGCTTACACTGGGTAGGTAATTTAAAAGCCTCTTTTACACTATTTGATATGTTACCTTTTTCTACTAGCTCTAACTACTGTTGATAAGAAAAATGAATGAAAAATAACTTGAAATTTACTAATGAGAAGTTTATGTTTCAACTCATGGAAGTTTCCAGAGACTTGTCATATCCGTACTTCCTTTGATTAACTATTTAACTTTTATTATTCCTTTGTATCCAGATGAATCAGCCTTGGAACTTTTATACCTAAGAAACTTGCTCTTATTTTTATTCATGATTCATTTCCAGAGACAAAACTTCAGTTAACGATACACAAACAGTATGAGTTTGCATTATAAACTATATTCGAAAAACGCTTCGTTAAGGAAATACGGGCTTAAATTGGACCTAAAAAATCAACATTTTAAATTGTTGCCAAGGAAAAAAGACATTTTGCAATAGAAACTAGATTTTTTGGTTGGTAAGTGGCGTCCGTCCTAACATAAAGGAAGCATGAAAAATATGATACGCCATTGCTTTTCCATAAAATCAAAATCACTTTTGGATTATCTGTTCAGTTCGAAAGAAAAAAGTTTTCTTTCAACTTCTTAGTGCAACTCAGCGTTTTCAAGTAAAACAATATAAAATTCTAACATCAATCTGTGATGTTCCTCATCGGCGAAAAGTATAGGAATTGCTCGAAATGTAGTACAATCAACTCATAATTTTTTTTGCACCTTAATCAGTGAATGATAATAAGTCAATGGAATTGAATCAGTGGTTCGGCCACCCAGATTCCCGGATCCTAATCCATTGGATTTTTACGTTTGGGGACTTTTCATTTTTTACTTGAAAATGATGAGTTGCACAGGAATCGAATGCAATCGAAAATCGAAGTACATATGGAAATCGAAAGGATCGATTGAGTTCTAAAGATTTATCTTTAGAACTCAATGAAGAGTTGAACTCTTTAGAACTCAATGTTTCTTTTTATGCAAAAGCAACGGCGTATCATTTCTTCCTTTAAAAACCAGATCCAGTAACTTGTTAGTACAAACGCCACTGATAAACAAGAAAATTAGTTTTTCTTGCAAAATGTGCTCTCTCTCGTTGGCCGCTACTGAATGTAAAATCTGGCTCAAATATCCACATTTTATAAATTGCAATTTTTTAGGCCAAACTTAAGTACCCTGTATTTCCTTAGCGAAGCGTTTCGCAAATGTAGCTTATCATGCAAATTCGTCTTGTTTTTCCATACTATATGGTTGCCCGAAGTTTCAGCTCTGGAAACTGGACCACACTGTATATTACATTCTAAATGAAAGGCATTCTTGATGACTATTTAAGCCACTAACCGGCCAAGCGAACCAAAATAAACCCCTTCTTCATTGTCAATAGTGTGCACAAAAAATTGTTTTTATCTGATTTTTATTAACTTACTCCGCTGCTTTCATTAAACAGATATTTTTAAAGAAGTTTTATTATTTCCATTGCAACGGAATATTGGTGAACTTATTCAAAGTATATTTTTCACATGCGTTGAATTTCATCTACACAAATATTGCTTACCCATTGATTCCAGTACCCAGCCAACGGTACCATCTCCACCACAACATATAACTTTAAAGTTCGGTACATCTTTGAACATATTGAGACCTTGCATGGGGCCACCTTGCGTGGAACCTGAAAGTATGCAAACTTGGTTTAACATATTCTAAAACACGTGCTTTTTACTTAAAAGCTTACCTAAAATATGGACTTGTCGCGGATTTAGAATGTATTGAAATTTTCGCAGAATTTTGTATCCTTGCCGACCCCCTGATTTTGGGTTGATGAAGACTAACAGTGGTACTGACGAAGGTTGCGGGGTTATTTGAAACGACATTGCTGCCTGCTTTGTTTGACTTGAAGTTAAGGAGCACTGAAAAAAGAACATGAATTATTAAAAATAACTTTGCGCACATAAAAGTGTATTACTATGGGGATCTCGCAATGTCCCTGGAAGGTGCAGTTTTCTAAAGTAATTATGTTTTTTTTTAATTTATCAAACCGACTTCAATAATAAATCAAAAGGCCGTAAACACGTATTTTTTTCAATCGATTAAACATCGGAAAATATACAGGGTGTCCCACCACGAAGCGCCGTGATCGAGATCTGGCAAACCATATTTAGCAGAAATTTGAAAATTGGGCAGTGTGCCGAAGTCATTGGGGCAGGCGAACTAAAATATTATCAAGATGGCCACACTTCCGGTTATACCGACGGTTATATTTTAAATGGACCACTGTATATAATATTAAAATTCGGATTCTAAAGGACTACTTTAATGGAATTTCCACAACATTTGATAACTATTAATACAAAGTGTTAAAAAAATTTATTTCAAAATGATGTTGAGGAAACGGCCCAAAAAAAATTTTTTTTTCAAATGGAAACCCCCACTTTTAATAGTTTCATCTTATTCAGTATTAAAAATAATGGTAAGTTTATGTAAGGTGGTCGATGCCAAAAGTGTTTAGTTTTCGAAATATTTTAAATTGAATGTTTTCATATGGCTGTTCTGGCGCATCTTTTTATAAATGCACTCTCAGTTGCCATGACAAAAGTGGCAATTTTTGAGCCAACTTKAATTTAGAGTCTCCCAAAATTCCCCAAATTGACTTTGTGTATGCGTGAATTTTGCGAACAAAATTACCGAATTTATTAAATAAATTCGGAATTGGCCAAGAAAAACACCCTGTATGTAGCTAGATTCTGTAGTTTAGTCTATGACATCTTCAAATCTGGTTTTCTAGCCGAAACCCATCTAAAACGTGAAGAATATCCCGAACAATTCGTGGAATTTTCGTTCATCCGATGGCAGACGGGGAAACCCGAAGAATGGGAATCGCCCCGTTGCGAGACCTTCGTCGAAATGCGCAGAATTCGACTCCGGCCAATAGGAAGAGGGGTTGCCCGAGGAATTTGAACTCACTCTACCGTCCGAGGTTTCGATGCGCATGAATACCGCTTATGAATGAATGTGTAGTAAAGTAGCGTAAATGATACATGAATGCATGAATGGAATACCGGAGCTTCTTRTTTTAGCTCGATGGTGGTAGTTTTCGCATGTTGAATGAATTCACGTGRGGCGTTTGGGTATTTTGAATATTCACTGACCCAAAATAGACTATTTGAAAATTATTTTTCAAAATTTTTGATGAATTCTTAATATAACTTTATCACATTCTTCATAAATAATAAATAAGTTCAAATAATATTTATTTGTATAATTTAAGCGTCTGGTCATGATTATTAACTATTTTCGAAAGGTAACTGACAGCGGTACGTATTCCTTTGGCATTTGATAGTATTAAAAATAGTCACTTTTGTCATGGGAACTAAGAGTGACATTATTTAAAATAAGATGCGACAAAACAGCCATATGAAAATATTAAACTCTAGAAAACTAAACACTTTTGGAATATACAACTTTACACAAACTTTGGTTTCAGGATACTGATTGATATAAAGTTATCAAAAAGGAGGGTTTCCATTTAAGAAAATTGATTTTGGGCGGCTTTCTCAACGTCATTTCGAAAATTATTTTTTTAACACTTGTATTAATAGTTATCAGCATTTTGCCGAACTTCGATTAAAGTAAGCCTTTTTCAACAAGAAATRCGACTCAAATTAAGCAGCACATATTTCCTTATAGRAAAAATGAATAATTATTCGATTGGCTGCAACTGTAATTGTTTTCATAAAAATGTTTTTAAACCTGGGTGATTTTGTCAGACATATTACGAAACAGTTTCAGTTSTGGGAACAGCAAGGCTTTGCTCAATGCAGTTATTTACTCAAAAAATTACCAGACTACGGTCTGTATCTTATCGATTATGTGCATCCTTATTTAAAATTCTGGGTAAACATTAGGGTAATTTTGAATTTCAATAACATTAGTTGTGAAAGCATTAATTGGCCAAATCCGTTTTAGTTACTGAGCACTTATGCCTTTGATGAAATGGAGATTGGTGCTTTTGCTGGCTCTACCTGACAATAATTACCCAATGAATATAAGCTTCATTGATTTCATTGGTAAATGCTGGGGTTTTGACAAAATTAATTAGAGTATTATCTAGTCCCATTTTCCTTGCCCGACCCGATAACACTAACCCAACAAAACTCTGCTCAGTATTTCGGAACGTTTTAAATTCATTGGCTTCTAACATATTCCATTCGTTGCTGCTTAACTATTTTGGATCCAATTCCTTCCAAAAATATCCTGGATAAAATAGCAGGCTAATTTTGTACTAGAAGGCGTATTTCAATAAGTTTCACTTAAAGTCCTTTAAAAGTTGGCAAAGTCTCCAATATACTGTTGAAAACCAGTTCAGCGAAGTTCACCCGTTCGCTAACATGGCATGAATAATAAAATTACAGCAATTTTTGGGAAATTCCGTTGTTATTTTCTCATAACTTGCAGACTACAATTTCCTGAGGGCATAAGGCTAAATTTATTCGGAAATGTTAAGAATATTCTAGTTTTATTTTTCATTTTCGCGCATAAATGTATATTAGAGTTACAGCTCTAGTCTGTTTTCTGACTCCGATTTAATTGAATACATGTTCTTTTTAGTGTGGCGATTTTAAGAGAACATCGAAAACATTTTCCAATACTTACAATACTAACATTGTCCCCACCATATCTGGATCCTCTCTTTTGGACAGATCTTTGTCTGTCCAACACAATTGGACAAATAGCTGTAGGGGGTAGAATGTGTACTGCATGTTCTCCAAGCCCACATTCCGCCTTCACTTGGGAAACGCATTTATTGTGCAGCTAATATGGATAGAAAAGTTGATATTTCAGTGAATTTAAATTAACTTAATTGACTTTAAATCATTATTATAAGTATGTGTCTGTTCTACCCCAAATAACGTTCATCCGCAGATAGCAAGTTCAAGGAAATACTTCTGGAACAAATAGACGTTCAGGGTTCATCAAGTGTTCTAAAAGCGGGTTGCCTCCAATTCGTCTCTAGATAAATATCCCAGAGAATAATTACGATTGCTGGGCGAAAAGATTTAGTGACGTTGGATGAAATTTATAGTCGTAGTATGGCTGATTGAATTTAGGCCATTTCCTACAAATCAACTGATTAAATTTATTGGAAAAAGGACATCAGTGTTGGTTCGATAAGTGAAGATAAGTAAATGTCTTGGATGAGGTTAAAATTATTTTTTTATATAAAAAACATTCAAATATATGTTTATGGAAGTAACAATTCTAGCTGAGAATATATCCTGTACAATATCGATTTTATTTTTGCGAACATAACTAAATATACTTAGAGACACCGTGCCATATATTTGTATAGTTATATTCTGTATTATTTCATATTGTTCATTTACTTCTTTTGTAAATGTACGTATATTTACTTATCAGTGAAAAACTGCTAATTTATTTATACATGCCGAGTGAAATCTGTTGGGATAAATCTTAGCCGAACGACCATTTCTTTTTTCGTTCTTGGGCCAATTTTCCCAGGTCACAGTGCAAGAGCGTCCCACATTTAATAATTTATGTCCACAGTTTCAACATAAGAAATTTCACTTGATACAATTACCGATCGAAACTGCGGCTAATTTATTCCGTTTCGTAAATAATTTCTAAAGTTTTCTTGCTGGGAAATTGTTTATTTTCATTTTATATATATATATTATTTCATATATTAGTTCAACTATCATGACTAGACTATGCTATCATTAATTTCAAAACGCCCTTCTTCAAATGGCATGTCTTCCATCAATCTTAAAACCGAGTATTATAAAAAACGGATTGCACTTATAAGTTTCTGGACCAGCATAAATTGGAATCGGTTAGACTCGTTTGGAATTTCAAATCCAAGCTATTCGCAGGTTTGTAATGTCGAAAACTTGTAAGTGAAGACTGAAAACTACAATTTTTGTCCTTGTCATTTGTTTCATAAAAACTTAATAGCTTATTTTATTTAATTTTTAACTGATGGTTTCGCTACGTGCGAATTTCGAGAATTTCCTTCGCTTGTTCCCAGTCAATTTTCTTTGGTGTTGTAAAGGGATCAGCAAAAAGACTTTTCTTCATTCTGCCTTTACCAGTCTGGAGACGGAGGGATTACTCGACTATATTACGAGATCCGAGCCATTGAATGGAATCAGATGAGATTTATCGATGGAATCCGGCTGATGAAATTTCATCTCTCATCTCAGTTGCAGATTATATCAGATTATATTGGAGAAAGGCTATCTAATTACCGGTGGCGTACTGCTTGAGTTTCACTGCCGAATGTTCGCTTTCGGTTCAAGAGGCAAATTTACTTATTTTTAGAATTGAATAGATAAACAAATATTTAATATCATCAAATTACCGTTCTAATGAAAAAATTCCGAACTTTCGGCATTTGCCTTGAACATGCTAGCAGAATTTCATTTATATAATTTATGAAATTGACAAATTTCGGGCGTTTTGTTATTCCAATTTTTTTTCTATGGGACATTAAAAGTTCTTACTGTAATCTGGCACCATCTGCAATGCAAGCCAGTAACCCCAGCTTTTACCGGTTTCCGGCATCGGCCGCATTTTCCATGGCAATTTCCTTCCACCCAATGGTGCAGCAACGTTTGTGAAGACTTCTTGCTCTTGACGTACGTCGCTATGCAACTTGCCGGCGCTCTGCCTACACAACGTTCGTGGACGGTATATTTACAAACTGAAAATGGAATAGAATAAAGCTGTATGTGCCAGTTTTCCGGTTAAGTAGGTGGGCATTCATACATGCAGAAACTGTAAAGCTCGGATTTTCGAATACACAGAAAATGATGTTTCACGTTCCAGTTTAGTGAAAATGGAATCGATTTTTATGCTTTTAGGACGGAGGTGAATTCAACTGACGGCTGTTTAGTTGAAAAACGTTTTTTTGCAATGTTGTGTACATAAACGTGCGACGATAATTTTTAGAAATAGACAACACTTTTTACAAATAGCAAATCCGGTCCAAATAGAACAAGATGAAAACAAGCAAAATATCATGAGAGCCGGAACTGATGAAAAAATTAATGAAGGAAAAAAACAGCTAAGAACGTGTTGGTTTGCCATTAATTTTTGTAAAACCTGTAAAACATAGCACCGTCATAAATTAGCTTCAGAAATATATAGTCGTTCCAACTGAAGAAAATTCGGGGACTAACTAAGAAATAAATAGATTGGTCTGAAATACGAAACAATATTAAGCATTTGCAATGCAAAGGAGCATAAGCTTGCATAAGCTAAGCCAATAAGCAAAGTAATCTTGATTAATAATTTATTACTTCAGCTTTGCTCTCGTTATTTTTTAAACATGAATAAAGTCTATTACAATGGAAAAAAGAACACTTATATAAATGGATAACAATCGATCTAAATAAAGAATGAAGACTAGGCAGAAAGAAAAGTAGCAGAAATAATAAAATTAAGAATAATGATTTCAAAAGTGACAAAGTCCGGTTGACAAAAATCGTCACATTGTGATAAGTAAAATGTTCCTCAGGCACCTTCGAAAAAAATACGCTGAAACGTATTCAAACGTGTTTTTACATGTGGACACTGCAGCTCGATTATAAACTTACAAAATAGCGGAAAGTCAACTATGAGTTGGCAAATAGGGAAACTCATCAGGAACTGGAGGCTAAATTACCGACAAAAATATGCGACAAATGATGAGAATGAAATACGTATTTTTAGAAGTTGCCACTTTAACAATCTGCAACATAACATATCTTAAATTGTTATATTTGGAACTTGACTTACATGTACAACATAGGCCTTTCTTGCCCAATCCTACCAACATATTCAGACACAAGTTACAATAGGCTGGTCGGCTGAAATGCTTCAATCTCCATAAATGCTTGCCATCTTCTTTGACATTGGAATCTAGTCCTAAAAGAACTAGCAAAGGAATTGTTGTTAATCCACCTCTCTTCCACTCTTCCAGTGAAACTAGACCATCTTTGTTGAAGTCTATCTCTATCATCATGTCTTGTAAAATCTGCAAAATTAATTTTAAGCAGCTCGGTCATTTTATTAAATTCTGGCTGGACGCGGCTGCGGCGAGTTTAAACTTTGTTGAGTGATTAGATTTGCACGTAAAATGCAGACATTCTAATTGAGAGCAATTTAAACATGCTACTAAAGTTTAAAGTGAGCGTTTTTCATAATTCAGCTAATATTTCAATTTTGCTGAAATATTATTCTTTTTGCCAAAATATCCTTTAGATGATATTACCGCTTTATAGCGCTTAATAATTTATGTATGACTTTCTTTGCATATTAAATCGACGCTTTCTTTCTCGAATATTATGTTTTATTAAACAGTTTTGTTTCCATGACTGGAGGTTAATAAATCATGAATTATTGTAGCGTAAAGGTGCTATAGCTGTTCTTTCATTTCGCGGAATTTATGTCCTCATAAAACGCTGGATTCCGATTTGCAGGAACTCATACATTCTTAGAAATGAAGCATTGCCTGAATTGCTTCGTGTATAATTGAAGTAAATTGCCGTGCCATTTTAGTGGCTTCATTTGCATTACATCCAAAAAAACACTTTGTTAACAATTTCAGAACAAACAATTCGCTAATTGAAGTAAATTGCCATACTTACAGGTTTCAGCTCTGAAACGTCCCATCCCAAATACTCAGCTACGGTCATCATTTGATTTACTATACAATCCACTTCGTTCTTGTCCAGGTAGCCATTTCCATCCGTATCGTACAGTCGAAACATAACTGATAATAAAGAATATAAGATTAGTAAGTGATTTCGTCCCAGAACAAAACTGTTAATTTAAATGCGAAATTCTTAAACGTTTAATAGTCGAGAATTCGTCGACAATCAAGGAGAAAGCAGCCTCCAAACACCAACGGGTGCAAGATCTTATTATATAAATAAGTGCTCATTACAAAGCTCTAAAACAGTATTCAGGCTCTAAACTTACATTCTAATTTATCTTCGGGTCGCCCGGCTTCAAGTAACGACAAATAACAGACAATGTCTTTTAAGGACACCTTTACGCTATTGACTAGCACCGTGTTTTCAAGAAGATGTCGCTCATCTGAAAAAGTAATTTTAATATTATTATTATTTTATTTTATCAATTATAACTAATTGAAATGTTCAACTTAAAATAGGCAATGGATGTTTGAAACTTGACGATGACTTTTGTAGCTTCTGTTATTGATTAATTATTTAAAAACATGTAATTAGAATCTTCGTGGTTCTATTGTTCTATCGATTTAGCAATTTTGTAATTAATACGCGGTATGGAAATAATTATATTCTAACGTTCAGCTGTTACTGTTTCAAACGTATTACTGCCTTGAAGCTAAATCCATATTAGGTAGCCGATCTCATATATTGTTTTATGGTCAAGTTTGTTGAAAAAGTTGAGGATTTTCTCAAAATTTCGGCCAAGGTAACGGTCCCAATTTTAAGTTTATTAGTATCTAAAATGTAGTGAGTGTGGCGAACACATTTTCATGTTCATTCATTCATTCGCTTTTTGTTAATTTTTGTGCCCACATATACCTCGACATTCCAAAGAATATGCGATAGTTGAAGCATAAAAATATTTATTTGTGTATATCCGCCTTTTCGTTGTCTTCAAATTCAAACGCAACCCTTAATCATTTTGCGAATCAGCCTTATGAGTTATTTAAGACCTTGCCTCGCCCAAAATAATACGACATTATTCCAGGTTTTCATCTGGCATTTATGATTCGCAGATAACAAAATTTATTTTCTTAATATGCTCGGTGTACGTGACACAAATTTATGAATGTCGGGTTCAGATAATATTCCCAAAGCCTTAAACCTCTTTTGAGTTAATGGCATATTAGTGGTACCTGAGGAGAATAGCAAATTTGATCGTTGATGAAATATTTGCCTTGTTTTAGGTTACTAAAAAATTGCTTGTCGAGGTAATATTACGATGACGGATTTCTTGATTATAATTTAATTAATAAAATGTGATGAGTCGATCACCAATCTCTACCTTCTAATTTTCCATTATTGACCAACAAAGAGTTATTGGATTTTTTCGATGAATTTCGTGAAATCTGGCTATGCGAGGGGCTGGAATCAGTGCTTTTTTTCCCAACAGCTTCGTGACATGAATAGGACGTGTGTGTTATTGTCAGCATTGGATGGACGCTTCCTGGAAATAAAAGAATTACATTGTACCCAAGAGTTTTTTTGTGGACTCGATTTCCAGGAAAGTGAGTTGTAGAATTCCATTATTTTATATAGTAAGTAGAGTATTTTAAAAAGTAATTTTTTCATGTGTACCAATACATATTGACATAATTTGTGAATAATTGTAATTTAAGAGTACAAATTAAGAAATGTATTTGATAGATACATACTAGCCATCGATACGGAATCATGTTATTTCAACTTTACGTGTTCGATTCTGAATTGCAAACTTTATTTAGACCCAGCCTTTAACACATTATTGATCACATTGCCAATGAATTAAAAACGAGGCTCTAGTTGTATCAGTCTCTAATTTAAATAAATTAAAAAAGACATGAATATATTGAACTTCGAAATGCTGTTTCCGAAACGGATTGGCGGGTAATTTAGTTGCACCGGACGGAATTTTAGCTTAGCGAGATACGAAATTGAAACGTCACGTCGTCATTTGTCTTTGCGACCGACGGATCATCAATTTTTCGAAACGAGTTGCATCCCGAATGCAGACATTGAAATAGAGGGTATTTGCCAATTTTACATGACATGAACATGCAACGTGACCAGGAAGTAAAATAAACCTTAAAATGAAATAAATTTGACAAGGGTAAACCGTACAGTTATTGGCCAGTTAAGAAAATTAAATTGTTTAAAAAACATAACTCCAATATGAAATATTCTAGAAGCAAGTTGAGTAGGGCATTCAATTGTATTTTGTATACTAGATTAAAGGTACCATAAAGAAACTGCAGGCAAATTAAATTAAAAAATTATATCTTTCCCGGCATTTAGTTTCGCTGTATTATTTCAAAAAAATTCGGATATTGCTGTGAGGTAAGGTGAGCACAAGACAGTCGTTCTGTTTGTTTTGGTTATCTGGCCAAGCTAAATATTCATCATATTTGCACTCTCAAGTGTTTTCCAAAAGCTATGGTTGTTTCACACCGTCTGCCTATAAGTCGGCAGATATTTRCACCTCTTGAACTTCTATTTCAAGATTAGWGTCCTCGGGCATTTCATTTGTTAGTGTTTCTGAATCGCTTACCTCATTTTCAGCATAATTTGTTAACACTGTCACATTTATTGTATCTATTTCCCTTTTCATGATTACATTTCCATAGTATATAGAAAGTGATGAAATGCTCATCTTAATTATGAATAATGGTCTCTTAATTATCAATGTATTCGAAAGAAATCTGCTATAGATGTTAACATAGTCTATACAGTCATTGGCCGTAGGCTAATAAATGTCTAGGATGAATATATCTACACTTTATTTTGACGACAAATACCACTAGAATATTAAAAGTGTTCTGTGCAAAAAATGTATCAAATAGAGTACAGTTTTGTAAAATACAGTTATGGTCAACTCTGGCTAATAACTGAAATTGCATTACAATTACTATACAATTATTGGCCATTTACATAGAAATAAGAAACATGCTAATTTACTGTAACAGCAATGAATAATACATTGTAACTTCCCTTAAGAATTACCATAAATGAAAATAAATAATGATATTAACACTTATTGAAGCAACATGTGCACTGGAGTTATAGTGTGATCTTAACAGTTTCCATAAGATTTTAACACGGTTTTACCAAGTTCGGTAACCTAATAAGAAGATGCCTATAGCTACGGTAGGTGTTGTGCAGATCAACCTCACCGTCGCGATKTTTTAAAAAATAGAGTTTGAAACCAAACGTTTGAAACGGCAAAGCCAATTGCTGTACTGTTTACCCGATTTTTTTTATAAAATAAAAGARACAATTTTATTTTTCACAATTTAATCAGCTGAGACCGGATGCACKTAAATTTAGTTCTTATAATTTATCTTAATTTGGCCTCAGCCCTCYTAGGTTTTTTTAAACCCTACAGRTTTAAGGGCAGAGGCAATGCTTCAGAAAATACGTTTTTCTGTAGTATCTGTTGAGTTGAGAAACGAGTTAAGTAGTAATTTTTCGTTAATTAATGAAAAATGTACAGAGAGACTAAAAATACAGTTGAGTCCGGATATAACGAACTTAAAAAATGAACTAAAACTGGTTCGTTATATCCGGAGTTCGCTATAAGCGAATAATAATGCAAAAACACGTGGTGTATGTTATTTCGTTATTTTTACATAGAGTAGTAGAAGTTAGTAGGTATAACTAAAAATAACACAAAAAGATAAACAGAACACAATTTGAAATCTACTTCATAAAGTCTGCAATTTTTGTTTGTACATTTCTCCTGCACAAATAGATGTTATTTATGTAGTTTTCAAGATCACAAAATGACTTCCAGATATGATTAGGAACTTGGCGTGATTGTAGAAAATTCCGAGTTTCGRACACTTTTTTTGTCATTTCAGAAATGGTTGGAACAGCATTAGTGTCTACAGTAGAATCAGCTTCACCTAAATCGTCATTTTACTCATTATCGCTTAAAGCTGTAGATGAGGTTACGAAGTCTATAATTTGCTCATCGGTCAACATTTCTCTTGTAAGAATACCATTATCAATGCTCACATATTCGAAGAAATCGAAATCACTCAATTTGGTTTTAACTTGTTCTTCGACAAAATTGTGCACATCTTCATCTGAGTTTATTGAGCTGTTGTTGAGCGTGGAAGTTTGTTATAAACCGAAAGTGAATATACAACTAACCCAAAAAGTGATCGTTATATCCGGAAGTTTGTTATGAATTTTATCGATGACGTTTCAATTAAAGGAGAAAAGTTCGTTTTAACCGAAAGTTTACTATAACCGGGTTCATTATAAGCGGACTTTAATGTATAATTATTCCAGAAAAAATGTTGGAAATGTATCGAACAATCTGAAATGATTAATAACTTTTCATGCGAAATTCATCTCGAAGAAAGGCAAAATATGTTTAATTTTAGAATCATGTCTATTACAGATATGTACATAAACATGCGTATAATATTAACTAAATATAAGATGCATTTATATTTATAAAATAATAAGGGCATCAAATTCAAATTTCATAATTTCTATTTAGAATGGAAGATACAAATTCTATATGAAGCAAACAAAGTGGAAAATCTTTTGCCACTTATGAAAATGCATTTTTCAGTGTTTTATAAATCCTATGGAATATTCTTATAACTTATATTAGAATAATGTATGTTGGCGCAAATAACTCGCAAAAAACGTAGTTTCAGTGTTTTTCATGATTAATAACTCCCATTAAGTCCGTCTATGAAACTAAAATACTGCAAAGTATGTTGGTTTGGAAATTGCTGAGAATCGCAGGCTTAAAGAATTTCGATAGCAAACACATTCTTCGCCAAGTTATAGCCTTGCGGTTGCAGTTAAAGGAGTTTATAAATTTTATTTATTTCCCCATTTAATGGTTAAATGGCATCTGGTTGAGCGGCTACACGTCTTGCTGAAAGTTTTCGGTTTAAAAAGGTTTATTGTAACTATTTCATGGAAAATAAAGATGATTTGTTGACGATTGTATTAAATAGTAAACACAAAATGAAAACTTTCATGTTTTCTGATTTTTCATGTTAGTTTTACAAATATGTTAAAAACAAAATCCCAACACATTTAAACTGACAAAACGAAAGCCAGTACCAAACACATTACTTAAAATGCATTTGCGGGTAGTTGTTTCATGGTTCTCAAGAATTTTCTTGATGACCGTTATGCGACTTCTAAGAAAATTTTAGCTATTAGAAAAAAATACCTGATTTTCCTTTATTGGAACAGTCACAATCCGATTTGTGATGTCCTAGTAGTGTTTCGCTTAGACCTTGTATTCTTTCGACAAATGTCTTCGGCTTTTCATTGGGTGTGCTCAACTCACTAATAGCATTCAAGTTCGGAGAAGAACCTGAAAATAAAACAGTTGTATAAATCTATGGAATAAAAACGTTGCTAAATTTTAGTATAAATAATAATATAATAGAATTACACCGCCGTTTACGCTTCCAACACACACAATTTAAAGGAATCAAGCTCGAATCCCTAAAACGGTTAAACAAAATGCATGGAATTATGAATATATAAAGAGAGGAAGCTCTTTGATCCAAAATGAGTAGCCAAGAAGCGGAATTTTTGTTGAATATATTTTGGCCTTTATTGTTTTGCCTTTTAATATCGAATAATAATAAAACCTCCTTCGTTATAAAGATGCGAAGTAACTGGCAAAGGCATCATACAATGGAAGACCTGTACAAAGAGCTTCTTTCAGAAATATAATGTTATAAATTTCCACATTTTTTTCATTTTATTACTGTTCGGATTAAATGTAATACGAAATTTGATTTTCCTTTCAGGAATTAAAATTTCAAAATTACCAGCACAAAAGCATGAAAAACCTCAATAATTGTTTTAAGGAATTTATAAAAGGTATGAGCTTTATCTCGGAAATGAAATGGAATATTAGGTTGACGCATCCATGACGAAGCAGGAAGTCGAAATTTCGTTATGAAAAAGTTGCTTTTGAAACTTTTCGCTTCTCCTCTACATTGGTAACAATGCTGATAATGAAGCTTCATAACTTCAAGATCGGAGGGTAAAAGTAACACAAGTTTCCAATTCCATAATTGTGCTAATTAGTACTTCAGTTTTTTATTATTTCTGTTAATTACTTTTGTCGCGAATAAATAAAATAATTTATAGCATCGACTTAGACTGTGATATTATCCATATGTTTTAAGTCTCCCTTTAATACAAATTTTTAATTTATTAAAAAGTAATTGCTAGTAATAAGATTCCAAGTTTCATTTAATGCTAAAATAAAACTTAATTTATGCTCACACAATCTTCAATCGAATCTCCAACATGTAATTTTGCCGAAAAGCCAATGAAACTTGGGGTAAAAGTAAGCGCATAACTGTTTTCAAAGTCTATGAATTTGCATTGTAATAGGACTCACATTTGCATCCTAGGTGTGCTGCTTTAAACATGCTGATAATGTAATTACGAAGTTCATGAAACAATTTTCCGCAATCTGAAGCCGGCGTTCACACGTAAATCTAACAAAATACCTGTGAACTTACTGCCATAGGTGTTAAGTTTGTCTGCATTTAAAATTTTTTTTTTGGGCGAAAAATTTGTTTAGTTACTTCTTGAAAAGGACGGCATTGGTTGCTCTTTAGAGACTGGTTTGAACCGAATTGATTTCCACTTCTCTACTATCATTTAAAACTAACAACAAACTGCTTCTATTCGGTCATCCGGGTGAAATTTTCACTTTATATTCCATTAAACTAGTTCGACCGACGCAGTTGTTAGCAATTGCTGCCCGTATAAATTGCACTTAAAGCCACCAATTACATGGAAGCAAAATAAACCGCTCAATTTTCTGCTTCTATATATTGGCCGAAACGTCTAGAAAATCACAACGAATGTTATGAGTCTTGTGCTAGCTTTTAGGAAATAATTTACTTTACTGGATGCCGGAAAGTGGACAATCGTTGTCCCTAACTGTATAAAATGGCCTGTATTTTAACACCTAGAATTAGATGATGTAATTTAAAAATTAACTTATACTCTATTTGGTGAATGTGGCTAAAAGTTTTTGCTAATTCTAAAACACTGCATAAAGCGGCTGTAAATGACAGCCTCGTAAGGCTCTGTTATTTGTGTTTTGAAAAATAGTTCACAAATCACACTTTATTTTCTAGGAAAATCTAATTAAATTCTAATCGAAATAACAAAAAGATTGTGCGTTCAATCAGCAATATCGAATTTATACTAGTAGGTTACAAAGCTGACGTTTATTTGCTTTGTTATTATCTGTTATCATTTTTGTATTTTCTGTTTTTTTTTTGTATTTTGTATGTCGGTTATGATGAGAAGTTACCGAAAAACGAACTCACTTTTATGTGAAAATAGGTTTTGTACAATACAGCCATTTTCGTCGATAAACGTGATCCACATGCACGAAAACCTATCTTTTCGCCACCAAAATCCTTGTCGATCGTCAGGAAACGGAGATAATCCTTATCCATAATCCCTGTAGGTAGATTTTGGGTCTGTATTACGAAGATTTACCCCTCAGTAAGCTGCTATTATTTCTTTGCCACTCTTTTTGGTGCCATTTAAATCCGACTTATTTTGAAATAATTTGTGGGCGACTTTTTGTCAGAAAATAATAAAATGTGTAATCGCCTTCTCACACTTTATCAGTTTCAATGAATAAAATATATTTTCAAATATTTCGATTTACATTTATACTTTTATTTGCCGATTTACAGTCAGCGTGTTTTCAAATCGTTCTCAAATGAAATATTGACTAATTTTTATATTTAGCTTCTATTTAAAGTGTGAATGTTCTGCATAATCGTATAAAATACTCCTCTGTTTTGTTTCTTTCTAATTTTTGAGGCATTAGGGAATTTCTCTATTTTAAACATTCGGTCTTGAATAGTCTGTTGGGTCAATTTTATTATTTCTAGCTGCTAAAGCAAAGAAATAATGTGAATGTAGGATCGACAACCTTCTCAAGAGTGATAAACATACAATAAAACCAAATAAATGCGCTTTATATCACTAGTATTGTAAATACTGAGATTTTATATGCGTAGCATATTATATTTCTATTATGAAAGTTATGCGTTTGCTTACTATACTGCGTTAGATAAGATTCCCTACGGAATAAATCTGTGTATGAGTAAGAGGTACAATTTTTAAATTTTCAGCAGAATTATTAACTATCAAGCTGTGCTGTAAATGTAACAAATTGGCTCATCCTCAAAAGCGCTCGAAAGTTGGATACGCTCGAGGTTTCCCACTGATTACTTTTATCTAGCTTTAGACGAGAAAACTTTAGTATTTGCACATTCATTCATTGAAAAGAATCAGGTTACCGCCAAGATTTCATATATTTATCAGGGGCATTAAAATATGTCGGTATTGATTTTTTGCGCTGGATTCGTTCCAGAGGCCGTTTGAGTCCCATCTCTGAAATATATCCCGACTTGAGAAAATTAGAGTCGCATCTGAATTTTTATTTTTTGAGATCATTCGATACCAGGGCCATTCCGATGCTTCTGTGCATGATGTCGCAAATTTATAACCTTCATAAACCAAGCGAAGCCAGAATACATAAATGGGTATTAAGAGGGGGACACAGAATTGGAAGAATAGACTCAATCGAGTCTTAATAAACTCGAAAAATAATACGCAAAACTGGCCCGGTTAATAGAAAAGTTTGTCGGAGGATTTACTGGCGTGAACCCAAACTCTCGTTATGGAACGAACATTTGCTGGGACTTTTCGCAGGACTGCTTTAGATACTTTGATCAAATTTGTTAATGTTTGTTTCAATGCAATATGGCTTAACAGTTGATGGAATTGATATGAATCTGTTAATGACCTTCATATAAGAGTTTGGACCCAAGTCGCATAACAGTGAAACCACTGCTATCTCAACAGAGAAACTCATTCTAAATGAAAAAWACACATTTAAAGCGAAAAATTCAACAGACTAATCGACAAATGAAGATTTTTAGCCACGCCTYCAGGAGGAGCCAAAACACGTTTGGTTTAAACCGGTTGAAGAATTAGCTGATAAGTCGATGTTTCAGTTAATTTGTAACCAGTAAACCACGTCTACTGGTGGAGCTACGCCTGTAAAACGTCAATTTACTGAAAATATCGGATTAGTTTCGGGTGATTGGTGTTTTATTATTTAACTTTTCAGATTAATTGTTCAGTTTATTTCTGCAATCTTGGGATATTTTCAAGTATTTTAGTGCGTACAGGAACAAAAAAAAATATATTTTGGTGGAAATATAATTTGAATACAAAAATCTCTTAACTGGCGTCAACACGCCAGGCAACTGCCAAAGCAAAGAATAGGCGCAAAATATAAAATTGTCTTCTGGTTATATCACAGAAAGTCCATTGATAAAGGCAATTTAAGTTCTGATTTTAAAATAAAGCAAAAAATATTAGTAACCTCTGTTATGCGATGTTATGGGAGCACAAGCTGTCGTTGAGCTGAGCACTGTCATTTCTTTAAACGCTTTACCTTCCATTTTGACACTCTTTCGGACGAACGATAGAAACAGGTGCTTACACAGCTCCCTGGGAGTTTCCATCTCCAAGTAAGTGTCCAGAAATTCGCAGAATCCTTGTAGGTCGATATCCTGAAACGAAGAAAAATGTCTAATCATGTCATGGTTACACTATCGAATATATCCGGAACATCAACTGGTGTCTTTACTTGGATGGGATTTGATACAGACAATATTTCACTTCTTTGATAAAATATAATATTTGATAGCAAATAGACTCTGGTGTTCAGTCTAGAAGCAAATTTAATCCCTTGGAATCCATTAAATTGTACATTATTGGCGCACTATCTATGGCAATACATTCATCCTGAGTTCCATATGCATTCTAATTCTGCTGTAATTACATCATCTATTGTGAATAGTGATACTAAAGCAAGCCGCGTTTAATTTTTGGCCATGTTCCAAATTGCACCGAATTCAATGCCTAGTAAACATATCCCTCTTAAGCTATTTGGAAAATCAATTCGTCCTTCATGAAAGAAGGAATTACTAATACGTTGAGTGGGGACTGACTGGCTTTATTCGACATTTATTGGGTTTAGAGGACACCATGCTGGATTTTTCTCAATTTTGTTCAGACTGCTGAAGACTTTTTAAATGGAAATTTTGGTTTATTGTCACCCATCGGGTCATTTTTTAATAACCAAACCTCAAAATCGGTGTATTATTGTATAGATATGTTATGAGAAAAACCGCTCTACATATACAATATCTACGTAGACAATTTAGTGCAATGAAAGTATTCTCTATGGAAATGTATTATTCGAATTTAGATCGGCCCCTAAGCGATTCTGGAAATTTCCATATTTGCCCGAATTTCATAAATGAGGTTGGTGGAAATGGAATCTCATCCGTACTATTTGCTCTTTTGGCCCGAATAATCCCTTCTCCTTCTGTTTGGGGAAATATTTCGGAATTTAATCTAATTCTTGAAACTAGCTAATTTCGTCGTGGCCGCGCTACAATTTCGACAGATTCAATTTATTCTAAATCTACATTTATTAAACGATCTTACCGCTTTAAACTGATTTAAAATATCCTTATGTTGGACTATGTAGTATGTGTATATAATTTATTATTAATTAACCACATTCAGGTTGGAGAAATTTTTATTTTTATGGTATACATGCGCAACAATATGTATGTGGTTAAATTTGCTTGATTACAAATAACTTGGAAGCGGAAATGAATATTGATCACATTATTTCCGTAGTCAATTCCATGCCTGTTTCTTCTTCATAAGACCCATATTTTACCGAAATGCTTTGACTCGTTACTTGCGGTAAGTCCTTCACGATTCTTTGGCATCTTGCAAAAACGCCTACTTTTGAAAGAAACATATCAATTGCCAGCAGTAAATTATAAATAATTGCGTCTCACACAAAAATGGCTATTGTTATAATTATTAATTATAATTGTGTTTTATACTTTTAATACTATCATAATGTTGTTACAACCAAATGTTCCCAGTCTAAAAACATTTGTTTGAATGGTCACTGTTTGATACAATTACGGGGGCTTTAAATTTGGAACGAAAATAGTACGTTCGTTCTTAAAATGTTACTACTATCATCTAATCGTAAAATCGATGGATTTTCAGCTTCAACTTGAGTCACTAAATATTAAAAGGAGACTTTCGTTGATTACCATTTAAAATTGACGCACAATTAGATGTCCTTAACTGTACGAGCATAAAGCTCTTTTTATTCCGCACAGCATAAAATTGTATGCCATTAACTTTAAGAAGCTGGTTTAAATGTATCGGGACTTTGAAAATCTCCAGAGCTTTATCGCGATGGTTTTTTTAAAGGCTATTAAGTCGATGATGCCCTCTAAAAGGAAGAGGAGCAAAATGGAAAATTAGTAATTAGATATTTTTCAGGAAGTAAACAGCAATTCGTGGATCGATATCAGCGGGTTTATCAATTTTAATTAAACTGCTCCGTTGAAGTTAATTAGGATTTTCTGTGATAATGGCTAGTTGTTACTTTACTAAATTGCCTGTAGTGTCAGGATTATTCCGTCTCAAGTTTACTTGAAGACATTTTCGGTTGTTTGAATGTGACAAGACAATTAATTTTAAACCATTTTTATTATGCGCAGCTTACAGCTTCTAGTTGAATCCTTTAGTATTATTGCTTTAATTGGGTGTTTTTTGTTTGTTGTCAGTTTGTTGTCAATTTTTTCAGCATAAAAATGGAAAACACCTCCATATGAAAGACAATATATAAGCAAATAGACGTAAAGATGAGACTTAATTTCATGTTTCCTTTCATGTCTGTTCTTTAATCTTTGATTGATTATCTTGATCTCTTTGATTAATTAGCTTAGGTCTTAGAATTAAAGTGTTTAGAAATGAAATTAGTCATACATTTGATGACTGATGAGGCCAAAATAAATCCAATTTTCAAAATTAAAATATTTTTAAATGCAAAGCGCTATGCGCTACTAAAAAAATTAAACCTCTCTGTACGAGGGCAAGCATCGTATCTTTACTCCATCTTTCCGCTACTGCTCGGAAATATGCTCATAACAGATACTTTTGTATGCATGTCTGACTTCTCTTAGATTCTTTGTGATTTTTTCGGGCAATTTTCGAAGCAATTCGAAGGTAGATCGCTGACTCCGGCTCAACTAGTCTAGAATTACCGAGAACACAAACAGATTTCTGAACCACTAAATTCACTGCAAATCCGGAACAATTAGAGAATTTGCTGAACTGCAAGCTGGCTTTAATTTTCTCTAGAAATTCGCTGAATTTGGATTACCGGGTATCGCTAGTACATTCGGAAAGTTCCAGATAGATTAAATGTTCACGAAAAATGTACAGTAATTTCAAACGTTGAACATCCGGATAATTTATTAATTTTATACCATATGTTTACGACGAGTACGGTGAATTTTTGTAAACATTTTATTTGTAAACGAATACGTTCATATTGATATAATTCAAAATTAATGGATGTTTACCTAATATAAATACCTAATATATAAGTTTAGAAAAAACACCACCGTAGCTGGAACAAACCCTTTCAAACGAGGGGTGCAGGTTTTAATGGTATTCACTTGTCCTTGAATAAGTAAACGTCTTGTTCGTTAAACATTGCTGATTGCTTAAAAAACGGCTGATTTATGCGAACGGGATTTTTTCAAATACGGTCTTGCGTTTCAGCAAACTGATGATTTTAAAACGCGATGATCTCTACCAAGTGCTGTTCTAATTAGGATTCTCCGCTGCTGACGATTTCAAGTGATTAAATAGAAATGCTTCTAAGCAAGTTTTCTTTGTCAAAATTTATCGTATTTCAGTAGGCATACATTAGCTTAAGTAATTTTGAGGCTTTTCTGACAGCGTGTTTTGGAACCGGTTGCAAAAAAATGTGTACTTCAATTTCAAAACTCAATTTGTTGATTTACTTTCACTTCGTATAAAAGAGGCTGCTTAATTACGTTTTACCCCTGAAACTGGGTAGCGTTAATGTTGCGGCTGAAAACCTTAATTATAGCTGTTTTCCACTCGATGGTGGAAAATCACAGGGTTTCGGGATTTCGATATAATCCGATTTTCGATTAGGAGTATTCGGAAAGTGCGGAGAAGCTAGACAAAGTGGGCAACTTCTCGAAAATAACCCCTATACTAAATCAAATTAGTGCTCAGTTTACGCTGGCCCTTAGTTAGCTGCAGGGCGACGTAACTGGTCGTTAATTACGCTGGAATTTAGCCCAAATGAAGGTTTATTTAGTAATTTCCAGTTGTGCAATATTTTTCCTCAAATTAACTTTCTCCGCAAGTTATTTAGCGTACATTTCAAAACTTCTAAATCAGTTTTCCAATGGGTACATTGGAATTATTGTATCTTAAATAAAATACAAAATTGGTAAATTCAAGAAATACTCAGAAATAACATTTATTGTTTCCATTGGTAACTAAAGATTATCCCTGCTTGCAATTTTAAGTCTTGTTTTTCTACTGGAACCTATCTTCCTTGCCATATTGTCGATGTCGGTAATAATTATTCGATTGATTGAGTTGATATTTGGCCCTTTATTTCAATTTTTGTTGTTAAAAGTAGTGATTGACAATGTTCATGTTCTACTCATTTTGCTTCATTCTAGCTAGGAGTCCTGTTTATGAATACATCTTTGATACTAAATACTTCACTTACTTGAAAGAGAATATAATTCGTATTACTCTCTAAATAATTTGTCTTATTAGGATTCGTTGAACCCAGTTGAGTTATTTGAATGCACCATTGAATGAACATTGTATTTGTATGCACCATTTTTCAACCAAATGAAAGTTCTAATTCCCAAAGAAAATTGGAGCACCCAACTTGAAGATCTTTCTACATTAGATCGATTTTCTTTATCAACTGTAATTGTTAATTTTAATTACCTGTTAAAATCTGATATTAACAACAAAACTAATCATCAACAAATACGGCAGGCCAAAATGTCAAGCCATTATTAAACCACGACATTTTCGAACGTAGATTTTAATGAGATCAAAGGCAATTTCAAGCCTTTGAAATATTTATGATAACATTTCCAAGGGCGATATTGGGCCAAACGTGCCCTGCTACCCTCTATTTCGTATAAGTGAAGGGCTTTACTCAATTTATGGAAAAGTGGTTAAGCAAACAATCCTTCGCCCGGGAGGGATTCAGAATCAAGGGTGTGTGTTACATGCACGTGTCGAGCAAACGAATCCTTTGATCTGAATTAATGGGAATTTCGCAGGCTTAAGATGTCATACAAGATTATGCCAGACCAAAGATACTAACTAAACAGTTTCCTTATACATAAATTCATACTTGCTAACTAAAACGGTTTCCGTAGGTTACCAGCTCTGCTTAAATAGTAATTTAATCAGCATTTTTCTACAATTCCTTAGTTAAACGAGTTATCGACATTGCAATTATTCCCTGCGAGGCGTTTAAAATTAAACTCTCCCACTTGACAAACTCCTTCAGCAGAATTTCTCAGCTTCAAAGCATGTAAAGAATTTGTGCGTTTAAGAAAGTAAGTGTCTTTATATGGTTGGCTTAACTTTGAGATAAAAAATTTCCATT